TCCGGCGTGGCGTGCCAGCTGCGGGCAGGGCGGCTGCTGCAGACGATGCAGTCCGAGAGCAGCAGGGAGGCTTCAGGGGAGGCGATGGAGTAACTCACAAGCCAGCAGGCAAAATGCAACCCCAAATATCCTTGTCTCCTCGGGGAGGGTGACTGTGGGGGCACGCTCGGACTCTCCGGGGAGCTCCCACCAGGTCTTTGCTATAAGACGGTGCATCTCCGCGGTGGCACACGTGTTGGCACACACCCGTGGCCTCAGCTCCTCCTGAGGTCACCCCGCTGCGCATGTGTGTCCACGTGCAAGCACCCGTTCTGGGGCAGAGCACCCAAAGCCAAGCAGCCCGAGGGTAACACCAGGGAAGGCAGCAGAGCCGCCCCGGTGATACCTGTGACCCACGGTGGCACTTTGGTGTTGAAATACGCTGCATTGCTACAAGTTGTCTTTGTTTTCCTGGGAAGGCAGCTCCTCTCGAACCGTATCCTTCCCAGCGCGTGAAAGCCAGCCCACCAGCAGCTCAGGAGGAGCCCAGCTGAGGACCCCATCGCCCATCGGTGTGCACGCCGCCATCCCCTAAGCTGGCACTCCTGCCCCGACTCCGTACGTGCCACCACCCTGCTGCAGTCGAGAGCAAGTGGGGAGAGGAGAGCGAAGGAAGGACAAGCCCGCTGTCCTCTCAGATGCTCGTCTGCAGGTCACCATTGAGCAGGGTCCTTTGGGTTTCTGTGGTCTCGTTGAGCCTGGATTTGTCCTGCTTGCTGTCGCTGCGGTCCGCCTCATCCATGCCGCTGACCTTCACCAGGCAGAGGACGTTCTGAAAGCTCTTCTTGAAGTTGTCGGACAAGAAGGCATAAAGGATGGGGTTGGCACAGCTGTTGGCATAACTGAGGACCACCACAAAGTCGAACATGCCCTTGAGGACAGGTGTGGGCACGATCAGGACGGAGACTGAAGAGACGTTGAAGATGTAGAAGGGGAGCCAGCAGAAGATGAAGACAGCGACCACAATGGAGACCATCCTGGTGACTTTCTTCTCGGACTTTTTCCTCTTGGAGGAGCCCACTTTGATGCCCGAGGACTTGACTTTGATAATGATGAACAAGTAGCAAAGGCAGATAATGGTGAGAGGCACCAGGAAGCCCAGGATGAAGGCGTAGATGATGAAGCCCGTGTACCAGGCACCCGACTCTCCCGGCCAGATGATGGTGCAGCTACTCCTGCCGTGATTATGCTGCACCCCGGCATAAATCATGATGGGCATGATCACCAAGAGGGAGACGCCCCAAACAGCCACATTAATCATTTTGGCTGTCCTGGGCCGCCTCCACTTGGCAGATTTAATGGGATGGACGACAGCCAGGTACCGGTCAACACTCATAACCGTCAAGCAGAAGATACTGGTGAACTGGTTGATCCCATCCACCGTCATGACAATTCTGCAGATGGCTTTGCCAAAGGGCCAGTGTACCAGGGCGACCTGCATGGCCAGGAAGGGCAGACCAAGCATGAACAGCTCGTCTGCGATGGCCAGGTTGAGGATGTAGATGTTGGTGATGGTCTTCATCTTGGCATAACGAAGGATGACGTATATCACCAGCGTGTTGCCGCACAGCCCTATGATGCAGACCACGAAGTAGATGAAGGTGAGGATGGCGTTGCTGGTCAGGTCGAAGTGCTGGCCTGTGGCGTTCTGCGACGCGTTGGTGGGCGCCTCCAGAGAGAAGTTGTCAAAGGGGGAAGCCGGGGAGAACCAGAACGCGGTGGCATTGGGCAGCTCGTACTCCAGCTCCATGGCTCTGCCGGTCCCTTGGGCACTACTGGTTCAGAGGAGCCGAGATGTCATCTTCCCTTGCTCTGGGGATACAGGAGAAGATTCTAGAAATCAGAGAATAAATAGAAGTGAAGGGGCTCCTGGGGAGGATTTGCCCATCCTGCTGCCAAGCTTTGTGGGAGAGATGCTCCCTGGGGGGGCTTTCCCCAAACCACCTCCCCATCTCCCCCCCGGAGCCCGAGCGGTGCTGAGCGCTCTGTCCCG